CCCAGTCTCGTAACCAAGACCAACACTTTTTCATTGAGAACAATACCTCTTATGATAGTATGAAACTTGTATCCAATGTCATATTGTCACGACTGATGTGTTCTGAATAGATATGGGCCATATAGTTCGAATCCCAGCATAATAAATGACTAGTGTTGAGCATCCAACGATGATCGATCATTTGATGCTACTAAATATTCTTAGCATACAGATGTTCGATTACCAATTGCACTTAAAAGTGAATATATAGTTTAGTCTGTATAACTTGCGGTTGAATCCATAAAATGGAGATCTACAACTTTAGATACAAAAATTGTATTAGTTGTTTTGGATCTGCTGTTTCAATCCGAACAAAAGTTTTATTAGCAGGAAGCTTAATTAATTCTCTGCAATACCAACTCTTTTAATCATAGTTCTAAATAGCAGGTGGACCATAGTGAATGGTAACTTTTTGCATGTCATCTTTTCATTTAATTACAAAATCAAAACATATCACAAGATACACTGACAAAGGCTCTATAATTTACAAAAAAAAGTATATTTTATGTATGTGCATCTTTTATTTCAAAAAAAAAGATGAAATTCTGTTCGATCAATTTTCGACACTGCGCACCGGATCATTCTTTAGTACACAATGAATTAATTTTGTTATTTCAACGATTAAACAATCATACTTTTCAACTTTATCCTATTGTGTACTATTGGGAATGGTGTTCCATATATAATAATCCAAAACTTTGAGATTAGAATTATTTATTAATCATCTGTGCTTGTCTATGAAATACTCTGCGTATCATATTAACGTTTCCTTTTGTATTATTAATAGATAAAATTATCGACCGGCAACTTGTTCAAAGCATTGAAAATTTGTGTAATAGAATTTTGTTGTTTTCATAGAACAAAAGTACATATATATAAAATAAGCTTTTCTTTGTAAATTGTAGAGATTTTTTCAGTACATCTTATGATATATTTTGTTTTGTAATGAAATGAAAAGATGACACGCAAAAATTGACTAATCATTATGACTTACCCATCATTAATTTTATTCTTTTTCTAGACAAATGATAACAATGATGATCAACGATCTTGTTCACCTTCACCATCATCTCTAAGAAATTCTAAACGTATTTCTTCAACATTTAAACCGTCTATAATTTCATCACCAAATGTACTTTATGATCGAACTAATCAAATAATTATTAACAATGATAATCGATTATTATCAAAAGGTATTAAAAGAAAGTTAAATACAAATCGTTATATGACACTTGATTTTGAAAATGACACAGATGATTTTTTCTAGTCCTAGATTTCTTTATAGAATTTTATCCAAGTATTTTTGTGTTTATTTATTTTATCATAACATTCTTTTGAACTTATTGTAATTAAATATAAATAGATTAAAAATAAGGTAATAAAAGAAAACATATGTGAATACATGTTTTTTTCAGAGATGTGCATTATATCGAAAAAAAAA